CAATAAACAAATAAAGCAATACATACATACGTACTGTGACGAGCGTCCCGAAGCTTCATCAGCGTCGCCCTGGCAACAAGCGAGGAACACCTGCCCGTCCTCATCACAGGCTGATCGGTCACAGCTGCAGCTCATCAGGCGGCGGCTACATAAGCAACGCAAGCCCTGCCACCTGGGAGACACTTCTCCATGAGACTGAGCATTAACTCGCCCTCTCATTTCTCCCACAGACAGCAGCGTGTGACCGACCAGCCCCACAGGAGCACCGCACGGACCCACTTCACTGGGAAGAAGGACGAGAGCACTCACGGCACCGGAGCACCCACCTGGACCTTTCTCTTTGACTCACCCACTTGTAAATAAATCCACCCTCCGGGGCATTTATTGAGCCATCCTTGTCATGTGATTCTTCACCCCGTGACTATATATATATAATTTGTTTTAAAAAATATCATCCCTTCATGCAAATCCTTCCCAGCTAATGTGATTTATACTTTACTTTACTTTTATTTCACACGTTGCATGCTCGTAGTTTCTTTTGCGCTTTAGTGAAATGATATACAGCGTGCGCCGCAGCATTTGCGCGTGCAATTGAAGAGTGTGTGCTACAAGCACAGTATAACGTCTGACAGGACAGGATATTTCATTTTTTCTGAGGTGAGAGACTTTCTATTTCATAACAAGTTACAAAAATAACGATAGAATAATGAGACTGATATTAAGCCTGACAACATCTCATCTGAAAACAGATACTGAATCGGGTCAGCATGTTTTTCCCAGGCAGTCTTTACTTAAACTGCAAAAAAAAAAAGTGTCAACAGCTTTCACGTACATATTTCAAAATAAAAGTCTTGCATCAGAAAAACATTTAGAATTACGTTTTGTTGTTGATGTTGTTTCTTTGACTGTACACTCCGCGACCTACTCAGAACGGTCTTGCGACCCACCAGTTGAGAAACACTGCTATAGAATACATTAAAAAAAAATTTATGTAATTTATGTAAGAATTAATGTAATTTTCCACTATACACACAGAAGAATAAATGGAGTATGAATGTTATCAGGCCATTCCTGCTAACAGCAATTGTTATTATTATTGATAATGATATACAATATATTTTAATATCATAATCATAATTATTATTATTAAATAAATAAAACTAAACGGTTTTCCATATGCATAAGTGCTTCCGAAACCTCCTTCGGGAAGGATGGGCTTCCGCAACGTTCCTGTTTCAAGTGGAACGGGTAGGTATTCCCAGTGTTATCCAATCTCACTGAGTGGGTAGTGCTACGACAACAGTGACTGGTCTTCTTGTTGCGAGCCCTGGCCTATGCCTAGAGGGGCATAGGAGGCTTGCACAGGACACTGGAAGGGGCAGCATCCTTGTGGCGCTTTGGTAGGGATTCCCAATTCGTCGGTCACCGACGTGACGTCGAAAGTGACCGACTGATAGGGAACGTCTCGGTTACGTATTGTAACCCTCGTTACCCGAAGGAGGGAACGGAGACATCATGTCCCATCGCCACAGCTGCTGTACCACCACTGAGCGGCCGGGTCACCGGCTCAGCTCCTCAGCGAAAACCTGAGTATGTGTTGCACCTGCTGCCTATTTATACGCATACCAATGTGCACTGGCTCGTTTAGATTACACTCGAAGTAGATTGGTGTCTCTGGCGAGATTCCAATTCGTCTGTCACCGACGTGACATCTCCATTCCCTCCTTCAGGAAGCGAGGGTTAAAATACGTAACTGAGATGTTTCTTGTAAAAATACATCACAAGTAAAAGCAGTTGTGAATGTCATTTCGGGTTCACTTTAATACTAAACAATATCTATAGAACAGTGCTTCTCAACTGGTTTGGCCATGGGACCCACATTTTACCATGGTCATCAAGCCGCGACCCACTTTATGATATATGTATATGTGTGTGTATATACAGTATATATATATATATATATATATATATATATAACATCTAAAA